GTAATGTATGCAGATGACTCAATACAATATATTATGCAGCATCAACTACAAGAGAGTTGACAAATGTTATGAATAAAGATCTACTACTGATATCAGAGTGGGTCATAAATAATAAGTTGGTACTTAAATCGTTATTAATAGGATCAAATCATCAGTTAAAAGGTGAACCAAAATTGCAACTACATTTAAACCATATTGAAATTGAACAGGTCAAGGAGACAAAATTGCTAGGTATAACCCTGGATCATAAATTATCTTGGTCTAAACAAATTGATAATGTTGTATGTAAAATGGGAAGGGGTGTGTCACTTGTAAAAAGAATTGTAAAATATTTGCCTATGGATGTCAGTAGACANGTTAATCCATCTTCAGGTGTCGAATGATGTGTTTATGAACCGTGTTGTTACAACACAAAGTAATTGCGCATGAAGAAAACAATGCAGATACCAGCTATTGGTAAATTTGTTTTCAGGTACACTATTATTTCATGATAATCTTAGTAGTTATTACGTTAGCTTCAGCTTAAGTATAGTACAATTTTTGCACTAACACCAAATCATATTCTATAAAAATAAAGGCAGATGAACAGTTAAATCCTACTTACATCTACAAATACATCGGATACAAAGTTAACTCACCTTCAATTATCGTGGAGCTCTCGAACGAGGTTCCATCAGCTTTCTGGATGCAACAGCCCTGATGATCCGACCTGATCACAAAGTAGTGGGTCAGTGAGTATCATGCTGGTTATGTATGCAGCTTCAGAACGAGTACAGCACTAGGATGACAAGGAATGTCAACTGCCGCGTCGCCACAATTCATTTCTTAAACGATGCAAGTTATCTAGTACCAACCGTTGCATCTAACACTGATTTCTCCGTGTGCCTTTATATCGTCTATATCTACTAACTAAGATGGGTCGCTGTGGAACAGTTTAACGCAGCTCAACTGTCACGCTTTCTATAGAGTGGGCTAGGCACTATCTAATTACACAACAAGATTATATTAGCAGACGAATTAGAGTCTCCTTCCTAAGTGACACCGGTATGTCCGAGAATTCTCATCCATGCAATAAAATTCGATTGTACATCTCCTTTCATTTTCATTAGAGACGAAAGAGGCTTCTAACCTTTTGTTTGAAACGTCATTTAAATAAGTAAACTACGTAGCCTCTCTTCTGTTGCTGTTTGAATAATGTCTGTATTTCCACTCTCCACTCCCACCTATCTGAACCGAGGGGCACGAGAGAGTCAGCCGAGGTTCATTAATACAGGAGTAATATACACCGATGAGGCCCCACCCTTAAACACCCCACCATGATTCCAAGATTATCCTTGCCCGTGGATCTATTTTTTATTCTGATTGTATGACATATTATCTCATTAATGAGAGAGTCAAATTGCACTTTATAAAGCCCAGTGATTGGTCGGTCACAACATTTATATTAAGAAAAATCAACGGTGCCGATTAATTTCCCGTGTATACCTATCCACATCTATTTGTATAATGGTTGAAATAGCAAGCAGCGCATTTGACATGAAAGATACATTTCATCAACCATACAATTAACTTGTTTTAACATTTAATTGCTCTCTTTTCCTGATCATTTGTCCAAATCAATGGTATACGACTGACTACGGCATGGGGATCATCATGTCGGAGATCCTGAGGAAGTGGATCGCTTTACTTTACCTAATGGTTCCATGTACAACCGACTTATCAACATTTATTTGTATGCTATCTATTCATGCAATACCGCCTCCTAATGATACCGAATATGCACCTGTGTTTCAGAAATGACCACAAAGCACTGGGCTTTATAAACCAATTTAATCTTCCAAAGGAAGAAAAATTCCAACAATCAGAAATAAAAATAGATCCGGAAAAATATGAAGCATCTGTTAAGCCTTTTCGTATATAAAATAATTGATAGATTTGATCTCTTGTGCCAAACATGGATCAGACAGGTGGAAGTGGAGGAGGTTGGAAATACAGACATTATCCAACATCAGCTGACAGAAGAGGGGAGCACGTAGTTACATTAAAGGTGCGTTCAAACAAAAGGTTTAAATAAATATTTAGTTTGAAGGGACAATTTACTTCCATGGGTCAGATTTCCAGCACCGTGTCACTTAGAAGATCTCAACCGGCTGCAAAACTGTTGAAAAATAGCAAAACAAACCTAAAAAAAAATCTTGAGGTGGAGCTGCAGTTAAACTGTCCACCCTGAAAAAGAAAACAAAGAAACAGGTGGTTAACATTGTAAATAATGATCTTTTAAGAATGACTGCTTAGCCACTGCAGTTCATCACTGTCACTCGTGCTCACATTTAACATAACCACAATGGTATCAGTGCGCCCTGGTGCAGGTGTTGTAACAAACGGTTCATAAAACACATCAATCGACAGCCTTGAAGGAGTGATTACACTCCGTCCTTCCACAATGGAAAGAGGTTCAGGTGTGTCAGCTTGCAAAAAAAGAGTTCAGACAGCTATGGAGGGCCATCCTTGTAATCAAATTAAGGGAAATGCACTTTGTGTCTGGTTTTCAACGCCGGTGGCGAGTAAACACCAGCAAACAGTCTCATGAAGAGTACCACCAGTTTCCCCATGTCCCATCACTGTGGTGAGGGGGGGGGGGTGGGGGGGGTGCTGGACAGGTGGAGGAGTGCCAGCAGCCGCCAAGTGTTTGGAGTGTGATGGGAGACAAGGAGAGGGGGGGGAGCAGGGGGAGGCGAACTCACCTGCAGCCGTGGGGGGGGGAGGTCCCTCCGCCCTGCTCGGCATCTCCGTCTCAGAGACAAAAGGCCACCAACATGTGCCAGCTGGTAGGAAAAAGGGGCCGGAGAGACGGGGGTCCCTCGTGGAGGACGGAGGGCCCACTGAGGGGGGGGCTGGAGCTGAGCTGAGGGCAAACAACTGCCGAGCCCCGCAGATCGTCCAGAGGCAAGGGGAGAAGGGACAGCCGAACGAGGACAATACACGTCTCCACACAGGTCTGACACCAGAGCAACCGTCGAGGGAGACAGATCAACAACATGCGAAACTCAGGCAGTAATGTTGCTCATCTGTTCGCAAACGGTTTCGATTCATCTGAAGTTTCAATTAAAGGTCCCCTATTATACTGTTTTTTCTCATTATATTATAGGTCTCAGATATATACAGAACATGTCTCTGAAGTGTTTGGCTCCAAATACCAAACGGATCATTGCAGCATTACCCATAATCCCCTCTGTTTCAGCCCTGTTTCAAAAGTGCTGATTCTCTGTCTGTTACTTTAGATGAAAATAAGGAACCCCTCCCCACGCCCCTCTGGCCAAAATCTGATCAGCTCATTTTCAGACAGGTTTTTATATAAATGGATCAGGACAAAAAGAGAGAGAATCTTTGTTCCTGAAACTTTCAGAATCTCTTTACACAGAGGGGACACATGTTGATGTAGAAAAGACATGAAGAAGTGGATTTTGCATAATAGGTCCCCTTTAAACTAGCTTCATCCAAAACATTAAGTGCACCTAAACATGTGACATATAGTAAAAACAGCTGCTTGAAAATGATATTTAGTTTTGATAATGAGATGAAAATGCTTGAATAGAGGTTGGATGGGAATTAGGAATCTTTAAGCACCAGGAAAAGCCCTTGTAAATACAATGTATTATTATGATTATTATGATTATATTGTTTATACATTATATTGTTGCATAATGAGTGACTTAATCTGTAAACTATCAGCAGTGAGTTGTTCTTAAGGTGTGGTTATATTTCACAGAAACATATATCACAGTAGTATTTATTTCAACACTTTGCATTGTAAGAGTCCTTATACATTTGACTGTTCTTTGTGTATGCTGTCGATAAGCCCTGCTGCCATTAGTACCAACCAAAACTTGTCCTTAGTAAATACAAGTTTAATTTGGAATTAGAGTTATAGTTTTTCCCCACAAACATGTAGTTGGAATTCAACTTCCATTATGACCGAAGATTTTCATTGTCATAACTATACACTGTAGCTATGCACGTATGACTAATAAAAGCCTTGAACCTTGACCCTTGACCCAACATGGTTACACTTGGACCAGATTTGACTACAAATATAGTAGACTTAAATGAT